AATTAGTTTGTTAATCCTTTGCTAAGTGACCAGACAACTTCCATGAATAGAATCACCAGACTCTAAGATGAACTTCAAGTCTTCAAAATTGAGACACAACTATAGGATCATAAAGCTTGTTGAAACATACCCCCAGTCTCCAGTCATCATCAATAGAGAAGTCTCCCACAGATTCCTAAATCCACAATTAATATGACCATTTTAAGCTCAAGACTAACTTGGTATCTAATATGTTCTTTTTCTTTTTTTTGAAGAATAAGTTATTTCCAAAAAGATATTTGAAATTAATAAGACTATGTGCTTGAGCTGAGTTGAGTTCTATTTGACTTGTCTTGATAATTTTTCCAGAAGATTTTTAGCTTGATGATCTTCACTACACTAAAAGATAACTGGTTCACCAATTGTGCAGAAATCAGGGAGAGGAGATAAAGAATAATTTCTGCTGGTCTTTAATATGCTTTTTACCGGAAGGCACTTGTGAGAAAAAGACTATAAACTCTTTAGATTCTAGTACATCCCTCAAAAGGAGACCTTTCCTCTTACTACTATAGTTTCTCTGCTCTAGTCATTTATGTGAACAGAGTGGCAGCAAAATTGAAGGTCAAAATAATTTCAATAAGAGTTTACTACATTTCACAGAATACCCAATTTAAAACTAGGTTTTGTTGGGGCCCTGGCTGGCTCAGTCAGAGGAATATGCAACTCTTGATCCCCAGGTTGTGAGTTAGAGCCCCATGTGGGGTGTAGAGATTACTTAAATAAGTAAAACTTTAAAAAAATAGAACTAGAGTTTTATTAATTATTTATATAAAGTAGCAGCAGCTAATCTCAGTTAACATGTCAATTAACTAATTATATCAATCAACATAAGCTGAGAATATATGGAGAAAAATGACATTGTCCTTGGCCTTGGAAGTACACTCAGATATGTTATGACATTGGTAAGACCAAAGTGAAATTTTGGGATTGGATGAGAAGTGAGAAGGAAAACAGAATTCTGAGGAAGTGTTGTTTGAAGAAACTAATAATAGGGTCAACCTCAGTTGGAGATTTTAAGGAAGTTCCTCTAGGTTTATCCCACTTGTGGCCACTTAACCACCATACGATGGTGAAGAGTCTGGGCTAGAACTCAGAAATCCTGGACAATGGTTTTGGATCCACTGGCAACTGGCTCTTCACCCTTGGGAAAAATTCCTTTCTTTGCTTTACCACCTTTGTGAGTCGCTGTGGAGGTCAAGTGAGAAAACCTGAAGGCACAGTCCTTCCCATTCTTTTCTTCACTCCTGTTCCACTGTGGATGTGATTTTTATGCTGGCTCCTTCATTGTGTATCAGAGGAAGAGCAGCTGTACCACGTCTCTATTGCTGCTCCTGGATTCCCAGGTGCACAATTAGCACCCTGAACATTCCCCATCAGATCTGGTGCTTATTTCATGATGGTTTTCACTGCCAGACAGTAAGCTCAGGCAGGGAATGAAGCATGCCTATCTGTATCCCTAGTGCCTGATCCATAGTAGATACCTCATAGGAATGTGTTGGCTGCCTAGCTGAAGGGATACATGGAATGAGTAGCAGAAGACATTTTAGGGACAATCACTCTTGGACACTGTTCCCACAGAGAAGGGGAACACTGTAGCAGGAGAGGACCCTCATTCTCGTGTGAGGCTCTTTATGTTCAAATGGCTGACTGAGGCTGGGGAAAGTGTGAAGGTCCAGGAGAGGAAGAAGGAAACGACGGATCATTTCTGTACCTGGCACTGCATTCATAATTGCATGCAACCTTTACAATAACCCAACAGCTAGGTATTAGCTCACTTTTATGGCTGAGAAATTTCAGGCTTTTAAGAAGTTAAATAATTTGCACAAACTCACACGACAGTGATCTGTGAGATTTGACACCAGGGCTGTGCCTGGTGTCTTTCCCGAACGATGTAACTGTGAGATTAAAAAAGATAAACTGATGTTTAATGCAGTATTATTTATCGCTTTTTCCTGACCATAGGGGGACTGTAATGCATGAGGATTACATTTCAGCAGATGTGGTTGATTGCCTCCCTTAAGCAATTTATTATGGTTTTTTTCGCCCCTGTCTCTTCTCTTTGTCTGATAATACTGTTAGTTGGGATAATTAATTAGCTATGATAGCAAATTAATAGTGCATTAAAGGTTATGAGATTTTCTACAGAAAATAAATCCACTTAACTTTGTTTTATGTGATTTCCAAACTAATTAGACCACAGAAGTTTTTTAATGAAGAATTACCAATATTTCAGGAGACACAAGTCCCTCCTAGACACTTTTTTTTTCAGACATCGATAAACACCATGCTTTATTAATGACAACAAAATTGTCTTTTTAGTTTGAATATCAAAACCTGAATTGTTTTCACATAGCATTGCATACAAAAAAACCCTTTGCTCGTAGCGTGCAATTTTGACCCTGGCCAACAAACAGAGCAAAGGTAGATATGCATGACATGTCAAATATTTATTTTCATTCCTATTCCAAGCTCTATTTTATCTGGAGAACAAAAGTGGAGAAACTGGTCAGAAGAAGGACCAACAACCTCTCCTGGACCCCCTTGTCTCCTTTCTGAACAAAGATGGAGCCACTGACTTCTCTCAGTTCACCCACCACCCCTCTTTTTCATCATGAAGGACTCATCATATCCCAGCAGCTTTCTAGTCAATTCCTCAGGTAGATGAGCAAATGTCAGGGGGATGCCAAGAGTTGGCAGGGGAATGGTCTATGAGGCTCCTCCCTGGGGTGGCTTACTGTAAGTTTTATCCACCCAATTGGGGGAGTTGTTTCATGTGAACCAATAATCAGAAACTTTAATTGTTCCCAGGGTAGGATCTCTCCCTCACCATCTCTATCTTTTGGACTCCTTACCTTGAAAGTGAGATGGCTTGTATTATTATAGATTGTTTTCCTTTGGACACTAGCCTAGCCCGATCTATGCTTAACAAGTTTAACTAATGCACTTTTATTTATAGTTACTAGCTAAGCAAATAGCTTTCCACGTTATCATTTTTGCACACACCAGTTCATACTCCTAAGCAGTATTTCTAGAGCATCTGTTCCTGAACTGGAAGTGGAATCACTGCAAAATCTTATGGGTAGGAAAAAATGGAGTGGGGGTTGGGCAGGGTCTCTGTGAAATTAGTCCCAGAGTTGAAGGTCCACAACCACAGGAATCTCTAAGATATAAACAGAGGATGGTTATCATTTTATTTAGCTAAAGTGCAGCCCAAAAGGGACATTGTAGACTATAAACAGATCTTTAATAGTTAAAAAAAAATGTTCCCAGTACTCCATCCAAAGACTTGTTTTCCAGCATGTTCTCTCCCCATAGCCATAAGGAAAAAAATTCTAGATCTTATGATCTACGAATTTCATGTAGTTTAAACTCTGATTAAAGCTACCCACTTGATGTACAGTCTTAAACTTATTTTAAGTCAGCTGCTTAAATGGGTGAACAATTTGAAACTCAGATGAATGACTGTTTATAATCAGGCAAGCTCCTCTATATTCACTTGTAACCAAAGCCATTTAATTAAGAAAAAGAATATTTTATAGTCCAGTTTTTCATTGTAGATACTCCATTTATTATCACACTCCTACCTTAGTGAGGTGGAGCCTAAGGGAGAAATAGTCACTAAGCAAAATGGCATGTTTCTTTATGAACAAGAAACTAGCAAACATATTTTCAATCTTGCCCTGTTTTTCTACAGAGCAATAGTGGGAAAGTAATAGTTCCTTTTTTATTTTTTGGAATGGAATTTATATGTGATGAATCAGCCTATTACTAAAGTTTCATAGAAGTTTTGGATGGAATGCAGGGAAATTCTGATAGGATATGATTTTTTAACTTACCAGTAGTGTTACTTTACTTTTCTGGCAAACTTAACCTCATTTATATAGAGACATGCCAAATGCTACTCTTTAATGGGACTTAAGACAGTTACATCAATGCCTCAATAATTATAACACTCTTTGCACCTGCTTCATTGCATTTTTTATTTCTTCCAGTTGTATTCAAACCACTCTCACAGATAACTTGCTCCTTGGGTGCTGTTCTGCAAAGAGCCCTAAACACAATCTTCTGAATATTTTCTTTTTTTAATCTTTTGAAAATTATAAGTACATTTTTTTCAATAATGGGAGATGATTATAGCTGGGATGTTTTACAGTATTTTTATGATTGATAACACCTCAAGTTCATAAGTTTATCATACCTTTTTTGTGATGACTTCTTTCTGGAAAATATTTCGCTGAGCTGAGAATATCCCAAGCAAAGCAGAAAAATAAACCCATCAAATACCCTGTCACTGAAAAGATGATAACAGATGTTTCTCATCCCTGGATAGCTCTGGGGAGGCAAACTGACGGGTTTCCCATGTTTCCCAGATGCTGTGTGATATGTCTGGGTTCCCAGGATTCATCCAAATGAGGACACATTGAGATTAGCAAATAGGAATTCCCCAGCTGAGAGACTCAGGGTAGGATAATAAGGCTAATCAGGGAAAAGGGGATTCTAAGATATCCATGGGATGTTTTGAATTTAGGTCACCCTTTCTACATTTTCAGAGTGGTCAGTAAAGGAGCCAGCAGAATTCTATCAGCTGCTCTTAATTTTCTCTTTTCCTTTAAAACATTCCTTATTATTTTAGAAATGATAAGAAAGGGCTAAAAATATCTGAGAGAACAAAGGGTAATATCCAAAATTAAGGGGCTGAATTACTCAGAATTCTTAGTCTTTCTTACCAATGTTACATCTCCCCTCAATCCCAATAAATACTATATCTGTATGTAAGCAGATTGCAAACATAAATACAAAAAATGTTGGCCTCTCAACTCTTCACCGTTACCAATGCCCAGCAGAGGAATGGTAGAGAGAAGACTGGTTGTCATGTTTGGTTCAGCCTTTTACATCATCTGCACTAAATAGAAAAATAAAATAAAAAATGAGTATTAAAACCCATTATGTCATTCTTTAAGGAAATTTGTATCATTGATGTAATCTAAAAAGAACTCTCTCAAAGACAAGGTTGTCATAGAGATTACATCCTCCAAACAACCACTTCTCAGCTACTGCGATCAAGAGCTGTGATTCTGGATTTATCTCATTTGAGGGTCTTGGTAAATGCCAAAGAACAACTGAGAAATATTATTCTCTCATGGAAGTACTTTGAATTGCCTTCCTTGGAGCACTTTACAATCAGGTCTGTAAAAATCTGCTTCTCTGTTAATTATAGTGCATGTGATAGATTATAATTTTTCTACTCAATGGCCCCCACCTGAAGTTGAAGTGGTTAGAAGAAAAAAATAACACAATAACACAATGAAATTATGGATATGGTTATACTGACCCATAGTCAAAATAATTCACAAAACCCACATATGCAAAAGGGAACTTTTCTTACTTGAGCTCATGTGCCCCCATTTCTGATCCTTCACAGAATAACTGATATAATTTTTTTTTAAGATTATTTATTTATTTATTTGACAGAGAGAGACACAGCGAGAGAGGGAACACAAGCAGGGGGAGTGGGAGAGGGAGAAGCAGGCTTCCTGTGGAGCAGGGATCCTGATGTGGGGCTCAATCCCAGGCCCCGGGATCATGACCTGAGCCGAAGGCAGGCGCTTAACGACTGAGCCACCCAGGTGCCCCCTGATATAATTTTTTTAATGTATTAGTTCAACCCAGCACTTTTTATATAAATTCAAGATTGCTTCCTCAGGTTCAGTCCAGTTCAAAGCTTTCCCTTAGATATTCCTTTTCTTCCACTTGACCTCAACCCTAAATTCTCAAGAATGAAGCAGAGGGGAAGAGAAGGGAGTCTCTGGTGCAAGCAGGGGGCAATTTCTTCATGACAGGCCATACACTGATATACTGAAGGCGGGATTCAATTTCTACTCTTGCCCACTTCGTGTTATGGATGAGGATACCCATGGTTGCTCTGCCTGGCTATGTTGAGAGGCTATTTCAGTTTTGACAGAGCATTCTCAACCTTGTTGATTCTCCTCAGACTTTTCAGCTATGAAACAAACTGATAATACTCTCCTCACCTCTTCTGCCCATGTTCCAGGGCCTGTGACCCAAAACTTATTGTCCACTGATATACACTTACCTTCCTGTCCAGCTGGCACTCTGAATCTCCTCTATTCACTTGGTGGGTTGTGGGTACTGGAGTTGTTCCTAGATGGACTATGCTACCTTCTCTTTTTTACCCTCTCTCATGTCCTAGAGTCCCAGGACACATCTGCTGGGCTCTCTCTCATCATACTCAATCTGTGGAGAAAAATCGTAGCCTCTTCTACCTCGTGGGTCCTTCCAACCTGAAGGGGATATCAATTAGGTTCTCCTCCACTGCCTTCCTACCTGAGAATCTCATCTTCCAAAAGTCTCCTTCCTTTACAATTAAAGTTTTCTTCCTCTAACTCAGAGTCATATATACTTCATCTGGGGCAGGAAGTGACAGGAAGGGATGGGATGGAGGGAGGAGGAATGTGAAGAGCCAGCTCTCCTGGTTTGTCATATCGTCTTTATTTTTTTCCAAGGAATCCATCAAATTCATGATAGCTGAAAAAGAAAACACTATTTGGTGCTTGATGTTACCAGACTGCACACCACAGACTGCTGTATGGGAATGATTCTTCCATATCCCTGATATTTCCTACCACTTGGAGGAAGCTCTCCTACTGTAACATTCCTGGTCTCTCTTGCCTTCTTACCTAGTGCTCTCTAGGGGAGGAGGAGGGACTTCCTTACTGGTAAGTTAAGGAAAAGTGATGTGGGTATACTCAGCTCACTTCCTCCTTTTTCTTTTCCTTGGAGGTAGCCTACCTACAGAGAACAAGGGTTACTTTTTGTTTCCTGCCTGCTCCTAGAGAGGAGGGTATGGTTTTCCAGAATGTTCTGTATCTGGATGAGGATGCCTGCCCTAATTCTGGGCTCAGTATTGATAAGTCCACTTTCCCAAATATATTAGCCACTGCCCCCCATATCAGTTTTACCAGTATTAAGGGCCATCTTTGCCATCCCATTGCCTTATTCTTATTTGTTAATTCATTCCAACCTTGGTCCATGAAGAGATTCATTACTGGCTCTAATTTTAACAAATATTTTATATACCATCCTTTCACTCTCTTAATGTTCTTCTACCTAGTTCTGCCCCCCACCCCACTCCAAATCTGACCAAGAGTGTGAGGAGTCCAGGTGAAATTCTGGCTGTGCCACATAGAAATAGTGTAACCCCAGCCAACTTATTTACTCTCAGCACCCAGTCTGCTTCTTCTAAAGACTATTTACCGCTAGATAGATTCCTACGGGCATCCAATTCAGGAGCTTTTGTTTCTTTACAGAGGTATTTCCTCATTTTTTAAAAGACTGGGATGTGGATTTATAATGTTCCAACATCACGTATCTCAGCCAGAAACCAGGAAGAGAAAAAAAATGAGTAAGTTGTCTGAGGACTCTATCCAAATTCTTGCTGCACTTTGGAAACCTAAATATTCTTCCTCCTTCTCAGTCTGAGGCAGAGACTGTGAGGACAGAAGAGGTTTTATACGAAAAATACAGCTAGAGAATTTGGGTCACCGTGAACGAAAAGGCTGTTTAAGTGTGCTGAGCAATGTTATTTATGCAGAGGGGGATCCATGTCTCTTTTCTAACAGACAAGCACAAACTAATCACCAGGACAGAGGAAAAAAAAAAAAGTGGTCACAAAAGTGGTCCTTCTGGATAAAAGGAAACTTGGAAGAGACAAGGAAAAACTGTTACTGAGAAATTCTCTATAAGAATAACTTTAGATAAATCATCTGATACTGTATTAGCTACCTAACTTCCTTAGAATAAGTTATTCAAATAGCCTCAAGGGTTGCTTCTCAGCCAGGCTAGCCTGTACAATGAATTATCTGGGCAGCTGTCTCATTTCTGCTTTAGGGAAATATACTCAACTGAACTAGCCTACTCTACTTTCATGTATTTATTTTGATACAAGTAATCTGAGTTAAAAAGTTTAAATAGAAAATTAAAAAATAGAAATTAAAGAGCAATCATCATCTTTCTCATCATCCTCCTACCACCCCTGTATAACTATTGCTTATACTCTGTTCACTTTGCTACTGATTTTGTGTGTATACACACACAAATCCATATGAATATGTCTAAGCAAACACACATGCACACACATAAAGTTACTACTAGATTAGAATCATAAATGCACTGCCTCGTAACCTGCTTTTTCACTTAGCAATATTGAAACCAATTTCAATATTATTTCATTCTGATTTATATCATTACTTTCATAACATTGTTTCCTTTTTTGAAGGTACCATAATTTATTTGACCAATCTTTAATTAATGGGCGTTTAGATTGTTTCTAATTTTTACTGGAATGAAGAATGCTGAATTGAAATCTTTTTATGCACATTTTTGCAAAGACTTGTCTAATTCATTGAATTAAATTCTTAGAAGTAGAACGAATGGATGGAAGAGAATGCCTATGTTTATAGCTTCTCATACCTGTTGCCAAATTGCCCTCCAGAGAGATTGTACTAATTACCACTTTTAACAGGGAATGTGAGAGCAGCCCTGTCTTCCAAGTCCTTGCCAAAACCGGATTTTCTCCTCATATTTTAATGCCTTACCATCTGATACAACCTTTCTTTAAATAGTCTTCATACAAAATCCAGCAAGTGACCACTATAATTAAACTCAAACTCAGGGAACTAACAAAGTGTGCCGTAATAATGGTTTTGGAAGACTTAAAAATTGGATGAATATGCAAATCTGAACCCAAATCTCCTGGATTAGTGAGATTTTAAAAGAAATTCTCTTGAGCAAATTTCCCAGCAGGAAATTCTGTTTTAGACTACAGGAATATTCTGAATTTGGACTGTTGATCAAGATATTAGTTCTGCATGCTAAAGGAAAGCAAAACAAAGCTAATGAGCCTCAATATTTCACCACCTCCATGGCAACTTCTAGGGAAAGGTTTATATTTGTTTGAATACCACATATAAAATTTGTGATTGGAAATAAATTAGTCATGAATTCATTATATCAATATTGTGGAGGGAGATTTAGACTCGGAATTGGAACACCTTTATCACTACTTTGCTGATTCGAGTAATGAAATGGCATTTGACATTTAAGCAATGAAAGTAGATTTAAAGTGCCATTAAGATGTGGTCATTGTTAATCCGGTGCCAAGATACTGGCGACATGATTTGGATTCTGATCCATTCATGTATGTAACTGGCTGATAGTTATGCGATACCTTTCAAAGAGGGGTGAGTTATTTGAAACCTACTTTTCCTGGAAGATGAGTAAAAAAAAAAAAAATGTGTTGTCAGGCATCTATAGTGCATTAATCTTCTTATTTTATTTTATTTTTATTATTATGTTATGTTAATCACCATCCATTCTATAGTGCATTAATCTTAGGAAAACATGCAATTTGATCATTTACATCTGTCAAGTCTCTTCTAACATCGCAAAAGATACCTTTTACACATTCTAATCTTTTAACAAATCACTTCATTGAAATAATGTATTTTTGCTTTCAAATTTGATGCAGCGTGCTATAGAATCCTATGAAGACAGACATCCTCAATGGTCGCACTTAATCGTTCTCTATTTCTTTCCATAATGTAAATGACCCAAAATCATCATAGCAGAAATACACACGGGAGAGGCTGAAGGTGGCGGCGAGCTATGCTCGGATTGCCTGCCCGGCCACGTGAGAAGGCAACCTACAACTTGGAGAACAGTGATGCGATCCCTGCTTCCAAGTCCGCGTGTGAGAAAATAAATCATTAATTTCTAGCAGCAAACAGCATAAGGAACCTCCTCTCTGGCTGTCAGGGTTTAAAGGAAAACACACAATAGTTACGTAGTGACCTGTCAGCTGACATGTTTTTTCATTTATCAAATCCTTAGTCATAGTGATGGAGAGAACTTGGACTGTTCGGGCACTTAGGTCATCCGGCTTCCCCTCCCTGCTCCTCCTGACATTTACAAAGCCACCCCCACCCCCTTCTATGGAACTGCTCCATTCCCCGAAACGCCGACTTGGCGGGGTCTGGCAGCTGCGTAGTATTAGTTCTCCTGACTCGTGGATCCTTGTTCGCTTGATTTCTGAGGACCCTGCCAGACTCGGATGTTAAAGAAATTCCCACGTTCAGAGCCGTTGCTCCGATGAGCACGGAATGATCAGAAATAGATCCGTTAAGGAAAACAAATCACCCAAAATCACTCCTGACTTTATTTCTGGATATGATTTTCACCTTGGCTATGAAGGGAGATTCTGCATTTCTGCCCCTTTCTTGTGGCAGATTGATTACAACAATGGCCTCAGACGTTCATATCCTCCTGTACCCACACCTGCTACAGTGATATGTTGGACCTCCTCCTTTCAATAGGTGGGATTGAGATGGAAGAAAACACTCAGTGAGGGTTTGTATATCAGAAGTGGGAGGGTAAACTTTTCTGAAAAAGAATTTTAAAAGGAGATGAATAAAGGTATAAAGGAAAGGTGACCTAAAGAAGAAGGATGAATTTAAAAACAGTTTTGACCTTGTTGCTCCACTGCTCAGCAATTTTCCGTAGCTCCACCATCTTTGATGAGTTTGGAGGCTGCTGGGGGTGGATGTTATGGGTTACAGGAGTGGTAGAAGAGTCTGGAATGAGCTACTGGGGGGTTGAAATTTAGATTCAACTAAAATCAAATATGTGTTTCCAACAGAAATGTTCCCTTGCAGTAATTCTGTGGGTGTAGACATGACTATCTGATTGTACAGGATAAGAAAGTTACAAATGGGCCAAGTGATTTACCCCGGTCATCCTGTTAGTTAGTGACAGTGTGGCAATTTGAATTTGGTGTCCCGATTCCAATGGCTTCTTTAGTTTTATGACCACAGAGTTGTGTTGTAGCTTCAATGAGTTACTATGTTCTTGCTGGGGTGTCACTGACTCATTGAGATAGACTATGCACTGGGTATTGTGTTTATTATAGTAACAATCAGCAGCCATGTGCCCTGCCCTCACTCTTATATAATGGAAAGAGAATATAACTAGGATTAAAAACAAAAACAAAAAACACTGAGGCTTGAGTCCTGATTGTGTATCTTACCTTCTATTCGATCTTTCCCCGAAACGATGTTGCTGGTAAAATAGAGATGATTCCTTTGTTATATAACTCTTGGTTAAGTACAAAAGCCAAATGAGATCATGTAAATTAAATAAGGTAGTAACTAATAAAGCACTGCACATAAATTAATTGAATGTTGCCTGGTGTTTTCCCTTATCTGCTATGTACCTTCCTATTCCATGAAGCTTTCTTGAACTTTGTCTCTCCCAGCCTCACATTTACTAACCCCAGGTAGTAGCAAGCACTCTTTCCTTATTGCCTTTCCTGTACCCAGGACCTGTCTGAATCACAACACATTAAATTCTTGGTCCAGTTATATTCGGGGAAGGGGATGGAGCCAATATAGTCCTGTGTCCTCCACCCTTAGTGCAAAGTTTGGAAAATAACACATATTCAATAAATATTGTGGCACAAATGCATGAATGTGTATGACGTAGAGTATATTATTATTATTTTGTATTGCTCTGTTGAAACTTTTAGGGAAAGGGCAGTTATGGGGCCCTAGAAATCTGATATAAATTTTAAAATCAGGGGCACCTGGGTGGCTCAGTTGGTTAAGTGACTGCCTTCGGCTCAGATCATGATCTCAGGGTCCTGGGACTCCCTGCTCAGCGGGGA